TCTCAAGTCTTCTTATTGGCATTTTATTGAAACTTGGGAAATAAAAGTGCCATACAATCAAGTGACTAAAGTTTTCATGTAGAGTCCATTCAAACAGTGTAGTATTAATTTACTGTCACATTTCAGCTTCAGAGCTGTTCAGATGTGTAGACTTTGTATGGGGCTGTATTCGGGAAGGGCAATAAATTCACCAATCAAGTTATGTTCTATTTGTTCTGGAAGGGATTGTATTTGTACTTTGGATTGTCTTTGCTTGCAAGATGCTATTTGCAGGTAAGATGTATTTGACCCTTATTTGGAATATTTAGGTGCATCCTTTTTGATCCCTAGTTGAGTGTCTTTCTGGATAGAAATACACAAGTCTAGATAATGTGGGCTTCAGCCTTGAATGCGAATTCTGTCAGGCACCCATCATCTTCTGTTTGGACGTACCTAATTTTTGATCTCTCAGATTCCACCCTGGCTTCATTTGCTCTGTATTCCTGCAGATTCTTTCTTGGGTCACCAAGCTTTCCTCAGTGGTGCAAGTTATAGACACACCTCAGTAGTATGTAACTCTGCTACTTCACGAGCTGTGCTGGTTCCCAGTGGGCATCTGGATGCAATTCAAGGTGCTGATTGTCACTTTTAAAGTCCTTTATGGAACAGGGCCTTGATATTTGTGAGAGCACCTGTCTCTGACTACCTCTGCCTATCCAATAAGATCTGACAGAGTTGGCGTGCTCTGGCCCCCACTACCCAAGCAGTATTATGTGGCAGGACCAAGCAGCCTCTATTCTCTGTTGCTGTGCCTGCCCTATGGAGTAGCATTCCCCCTGAGATCCAGATAGCCCTGTCCCTTTCTGAAAGTCTGAGCCCGCCCCCCGCCATCAGGCATTGGGTCAGAAGGTTTTGTAAGCTCATTATGATTGTTCCTGGTTATTGAATTGCCTTTGGCTTTTAATAGTGATGTCATCCTGAATCAAGTGGGCAGCTATATAAATTGAATAAATAAATACACATATACATACATGCTGGCTTTGGGTTTGGGTTTAAAATCCAAAGCCACAATTTCTGTTACATCAGGAAGTATGGGACACATTAAGAAATGGCTGTTTCTTGAGTTAATATTTTGTGTAGCTTCACTTATCTATGGCTAAAAGATAGGGTTGTGCATTATAGCTGGCAGACATCTAGCATTTTATCTTTAGCAGCCTGTATCATAACTTACTGGTTTGTTATTTAAGATATTTCAGATGTATTGCAACCATTGCAAATTTAGAATGCTAATACCAATCTGGAAAGATGGGGCAAGCCATTTTTTCAGTACTTTATGCCCAGTATTACATATGTGGTTAAGTCAGAGTCCTGAAAACAGCAAAGCTTGTGCTGGAGGGATTGGAAAGGTGAAAGCCGCCATCCTTGTTTGAGTTCTGTTTGTTAATGTGTGTACAGAGGAACTCTGTTTGTTTGTAGGTCCTTAGTAGAAGTGTGTCTAATGTTGACTTTCAGAGTCTAATATTGTTTGAATTTTCTATCATGAGCCACATCTCCCGAGTGCTCTTTTTCTTAGTTGTTTGTCCATTCATTACCTTTTTAAATATCTTGAAGTAGTAAACAGTTAATTTCTCCCAACTATTCCATGGTCACTAAGGATGTGATTCCACTCCTTGTCATGCATATTTTGATCCTATAGCATTTATTCATAAAACTGTAATATTGTTGTAGAAGTAACTAATAATAACAGGTAGAAAAGCAATCAGTGGAAAGCTTAAGGTGGGGGGAGCTATTAAATATATGTAAGGTTTCTTCTAAAAGTTCATTAATTTCTACTCTTGTCTAGTCATTAAAAATTGACATTCTTTAGTTTTATAAATGAAACATGTGAGCCAATATATAGGACACAAGGGCAGATCCTTGGCTCTTAAAAGAGCCCAACCTGTCTTGTGCAAACTAGGGGGTGACTTAGTCCAACTCATACGGAATCTGGATCATAAACCTGAAAAACTGAGTCCACCATTAATTATTCAGCATGGGAATAGCATGAATAAATGACTCTATAATTTTTATTTTCATCAGAATGAGATTTGCAGAAAGAACATGTAAGTGCCAAATTTCATAGAAATAGATGAGTTTGAACTACATACTTTTAAATCTGTTTTTTAAGTATTCATAACTTTTTGTTTTGTGAATAATATAATGAAACTTGGACAAAACCTATTCCCTGTAATGAGGTATTTTGGTTAAAAACATTTAGATAGGATGAAGAGTTTGGTTGAAGGGAATTGGTGGTGCTAAGAAATTATGCTTGTTTCTGAATGCAGTCAACTAATTATTGAGAGTTAAGAGTGGGGAGAACTGTAACTCATTCATATTTTCCTTATAAGAAATTAGGATCCTTAAAGCAGTCACAGTACATAAGATAGCCACAAAAGCATTCTTACTTTTAAGGATAGGAGATAGGAAACAGTAAAAGGAGTTCTCTTTGCCCCTCACCAAGATACTGTGATTGGACAACTGATGGTAGTTTGGCCACAAGGACCATTCTGATGTAAGACAGATCTGCCAAACTACCCCCCTATTCTTTATATCATTTTAGAAGAACAAGTACTCAAAGGTCCCCATTTTTCTTTGGTGTCTGGCAGATTTCTTGATCTATTCTGTCTATTGGCAGCAGAGCTTCATAGAAGTTTTGAGTAGGGAATACAGCAAATTAGAGACATCTGGTCAGCCCCATGTAAGTAAAAAACGACTCCATTTTGTGTTGAGTTAGAGCACAGCCTTATTTAAAAAGTCACTTAAAATATGAAAAAACTTAAAATGTTGAGAGTTCAGCTCAAATTTGAGAATGATCAAATGAAAGGAGTTGTTTGTCACCTTTTTTAAGTTTTGTAAAATGGGGGAGAAATTAATGAGCCTCATAGATCAGAACTCCTACAATTTTTATTTTCCATCAATATTCCATCAATATTTCCATCAAGATTGTTATTCACATCTTGCCTATGGTCTGTATTATATTGTATTGTCTCCTCTAGATTCTCAGTTATGTTAATCTCAGTTCTTAAAGGGTTTAAAGTTAAGTAGCAACAGCACTTTCTTTATCAGGGATTTACTACTAGGATGCTGGATGAGGAGAGGCCATTCTTCACTTTTCAGTGGTTGGCCAGTGCTACATTAGAAAACTGAGTGAGGTCAGGACAAAATCTAATTTGAGCCTCATTAAAAAATAACATAATAAAAATAAATTTGAAAAGGTAATATCCTTAGTATATGTGTCTGCTTTTGTCATATGAAAAATTGCAATTCACCAACAACTTTTGGAAGGACACTGGAGGACTGCATTCAAGACTTTGAATTAGTTGCAGTTTGTGTTTTTCGGTACCACCTTGATTAAATCTTGGCAAAGCATGAGGCACTGCATTTAGTTCACATACATTTTGGGACAGCCAGTTCCCAGACATTCTGTCAAAAACAGCCTGAAACTAGATTGGATCCTTTGCCAAAACAAGAGACAGGTGGAAATCACCCCTCCGGTTTAATCACACAGTGAGACAATAAAGCACAAGAATGAAACCCTTGATTTCACTATAGATAGAGCTAAATAGTCACTGGAATTCTTTCATAATGGCTTCCTTAGTTTATCTACAATAAATGTACTGCTCAGCATGTCTTTGGAAGTATCTTTGTCCCAGCTTTTAGTCTAGCCTGTCAAGAGAAGCCCGACATACTTCTTTGCTCAGAAGTATAGCTTATTAGATAAATCAACTTAATTCATTTAAAAGAATGCATATTAATTTCTTCAAAGTGAATACTTGCTAGAGTGATATTTCCCAAGGATTTTAATTTGACAATTCTGTTGTGGAAGATGAGGAGGATTAGTAAATAAATTAGAAAATCAATAACTAGAAACTAAGTTTTTGCCCCCGTATACATAATGTTCATTCTGTTAGCTATGAGAAACTGAATTACATAAAATAGGATTCTAATCTTTCTCTCAGTGGAGAAAGGTGTTGGCACAAACGATGTTATAATTTGAAGTAACTGATTGATCAATCAATTAATGCAAATCTAAACTGAAGTATTAGCAAAATTTCAAGAATTTTGCTTTGGATTTCACTGATGGTAAAAAAAATGAATTCAAATTCCACATTTTATGCATTTTAAAATATTTTTCAAGACTATTTGGAAATATTTGGAATGTATTTAGAGTTCTTTTCTGAATGCCACCATTACTGAAGAATGTAAGTATAGAGAAAGCAGAAAGTTGTGCAAGAAAGAGATAAATAATGATTAGAAAAGGGTTTTAATATTTTACTCTAGGCTTTTAGCTGTGTCTAGCTGAAGAAGGGAGAGGTGCTTTTCATGCAATTGTATAAAGTTAGTTCATAATAATAGACACATTTGCTCACATGTAAATACAATATCTACCTAATCTCCAGGTGCTTGCTTTGTTCTTAAAAACTAATCAGGATCTGCCAGATTGCAAAGAACAGGTAAAACAGGTACAGCTTTATTGACAATAGTTTGGATCACATTTCAAAAAGTCTCCTCTGACTGCTATTTTGGGATACCATTCATGATGCCCTCAACCACTTGTGCAGTTTGCAGGCAGTCTGCTATGAGTTAATCATTACTGTTTCTGAATTTGTTATTCTCCATCAAAGACTTTCACCTTGTCCTTTCTGTTTCAAAAGCCTGAAATTCTAGGTCATTTTAGATGAGGTAAAGTCAACCTGAACTGATTCCATCACATTGTGAAATAAGGGCATTCTATTATTTTTTTCTCCAACACATATCTAGGGATTGTATGCTCAAAGATTTTCAAAATAGAGGTTGGAGATGACAGTGTCAGTGGAAACAGTTTCTGCAGAGTGAAGAAAATAAAATATTTGCCATGTTTTATTTTGCTGCTGAATTATAGTCTGATTTTATTCCCATGGACCTTACATATATGAAGTTATGATCCAAAATCAAGAGGAAGTAAAGTTTCTGAGAACCCTTCATTTTATTAGGTATTAGGAATGTTTCTCCAGGAACTGCTTTATTAATTTTATAATTTTAAAACCATACATTTCATTGTATACAATTTGCAATGAATTCCTATACAAATAGGAATTGTAGGCTAATTTAAGTATCTAGCCTTTGGCTGTAATAAAGTATTCATACATTCAGATGTAGAACTGGTGTTTTTGAGGTCCCAAGGATGCAACTTCCTCAGTGTAATATGGCATGAAATATGAAGTGGGTTATGAAGTTCCCAAGAGCACGGATCTTGTAGACCATTCCAACTATCTACTTTGGATGCATTCCCAGCTCTAACTGGAGGAGGTATTGTCTTGGCCAAAACTGTAGAAGACTTTGTGCAAGGATCTCTGCATTCTGTCCTGCAGAACAGGTGGCTGATGATATGAAATAGCAATTGGAAATAGTTATTGAAGCTAGACAGGATCCAAAATGTTGGTGTTAGTTCTGAGTTATGACTCACACTAACTAAGAGTGTAAAGTTAAACATATAAATATTCCAAATAGTGAAAAAAGCAATCTCAAGAAAATTACTGAATGAATTTCTGAGCTGATGCTTAGCTTATAAAAGATGCTCTCAAAAAGTTGTTTAACAGCCTGGCCTGGCCCAAGGCACAGTATTAGATTGTTTCTTACAATCTAATGAATGTAACCCTGAAAAACCCTTGTACTTTTTTGTGCTATAATTCGCAAATCATACACAATCTCACATCTCAAATTGCACTTTGCTACTTCCATCCTTCCAAATTGTGCTGAAATGCAACTATGTGTATTGCTGGTGCTGTTCAACCAGTCCTGATAACAGCAGTTGCAAAGGCAGTCAATGGGGAATCAGCTCAAGGCAACTCATTTGAAGCAGCGAGAGCCAGTGTACTGTAAAGTTTGCTTGTTTGAATAAGGAAATGCGGATATCAAGAAAGTAAATACCAGCTGTTCCTGAGGCAAGTAAGGCTGTAATTATCGTGATGTATTCCTCTTGCTGGGTGCCTCGTCTAGAAAAGATACTATTCTGGGGACGTAATCAAGTTAATATGTTTCATAGGTTAAAACCTGATGGTAGTCAACTGGCCTTTCCACATGAGGTAAAAGGGAAGGGTTGAAACTAGGACAGTGGAAATAGGAGCAAGCTTCATAGTGGCTAAATCAAACCTGCCAATGGCAATCTCGCTTCTCAGAGAACAGCTGTCATGTAAAAGCCAATATTTAAAGCCAATATGTTTGCATTACAATTATATTTACCTTTCACATCTTCTGGGCATTATTCATTTCCTGCATTATTGCTCAGTTTCACATTTTATTTTTCATAATGAAGCTTTTTACTCCTCAGTGAACCGATAATTGCTGCTTGCTACAGAAAAATCTTGATGTTGTGGTTTAGAAAAGTAGGATCACAGATGTTGCAGGTAGCATTTCTTAAGCTCGTCTTAGATACATTTAATTAAATCAAAAGGGTCTAATCAAAAGTTTGGTGAAGAGAAATAGATTTGAAACTTTTCCAGTTGCACAGCAAGAAAAAATGTAACTGATTTCCAGAGCCTTGGATTTACCTACCGATTCATGCCCGAGAAAGATCCCTAGGATGCAATTCATGGTCCAAGAGATTTAAATTCATTCAGAGTTAAGAGATACTCCCCGACTATGTTTCTCTCAGTCTCAAGCTTCAATCCTGCCCTTCACTCTGTTCTTTATAATTTCTTAGTGGGACACAGAGTTTTTTTTGTTGAAGAAGACTAACCCAAAAGAAGAATGGGGTACCTTGGCCTTTTTTTCCTACTGGTTTGTATTTTGCCATCTTCACTGAGCAGCTGGTATAGTGATCCTTTCCTTTTCTTTTTATTCTGAACATATCTAAAGAAGACATTTGGATCTGACATCAGTTCTATAGTTCTTGTAGATTACCTGTTTGTACTGTTCCTTTGTGATCTGGCTTTCTTTCCATTTCATCCATTGATGTGTGTGTGTGTGCACACACATGCACACACACACATACATTTTTTGTTTTCAGATATTCACAATAGAAGAACTTCTGTAGTCACATTAGCTTTTTCTACTGTTGTCCATTTTCCCCTTCATTTCAATAGTATGCGATTGTGCTTTTAGCATCTCCTTCCTTAGAAACTCCCCACCAATTTTCCTCTAAGCTTCTCTTTCCCTGGAATCTTATTTATCATTTCACTAAATTTATTCAAAGCTGCTGGAATTAGGCATTTTATCATGTCCGGGTTTAATTTCCTTTAAAATTGAGCTCCGGCATTATATGGCTACTTTCCCCCAATGTTTCTGCCATATCTATTTCCTCAACTCACACTTCCCTACTGCTTAGCATCAAATCAAAGATAGCTCATCCACTTGTGTCTTCTTCCATCATCTGCAAGAGACACTGACAGCAAGACAAGTCATGAATTTCTGGGAAAGTAGTCTGTGTTCCAAAATACAAGTATTCCAGGCAGTTTGTCTTCCAAAATATGTTTCCTATCACAACAACTTTATGCTGATTTGAAAGATTTTTTTCTGATTGATACATACAAACATACATACATTCTTCAGTTGCTATACCACAGCCATCTAGATACCTTAGACCATGATCTCAGAACTCAAATCTTTCCCATCAACACCATTTGCTTACCCAGTCACTGACTTGCAATATCCTTTCCCTTTCCAATCCTCTTCCTGGACAGTAAGTATGGATCTGAATGCCACCTGAATCCCTAAGTTCTTGAGTTTCCTTCTGAGATATTCAAAGTCCCTAGTGATATAGTTGTATCTCTTTGCAGTATCATTTATCCCTACACATACCAACTGAAAGAGATAGTTGTCAAGGGACTTGATAAGGCTTAGAATTTGTTATCTCCATCTACGATCCTTCTTCCTAGCAGACAGTACACTTCATAACTCAATAGGTCTAGTCAGCATATGTTTGTTTCACTTCCTTAGAGCTATTAATAACCAAGTATCATGACTTTTTCTTTATCCTTTTATTAGATGCAGATGCATTATCTCTGACCTCTATCCATTCTCTTTTTCTGCAGTGTCTTATTTTTCTTCCCATGAATACTCAGAGCCTGGGTCATCTGTAGGGATCTGAAACTGACTTTAGCAGTGCACAATATCTTTTATGTCTCTTGCTTCTGGTTGATTCTTCTACAGTACTTGTTCCTCTGTTTGACTGTCTGCCTTATGGAGAGTTATTTCCATTGTCAGTTTCTGTTGAAGAACCTCTTTTTGAACTGACAAGTCCTTGCTTTTCTCATCAGCTGCCAATGTTTTGTTAGTAGCCAGAGATTCCCCAGACAGGAATGCAGAGAATATAAACATGCAACTGCTACTTACAAGCAAGTGTGGGATAAGGACAGCTAGATTACCATTACACAGAAGGAAACATGGGAAGAGAGAACATTGGATTTGAATGTGAAGAAGGCAGGAATCAGCCTTAACAGTCAGAGACTGCTATTGTTTGCAATGGCTACCATTCCTGAGTTGTGATAAAGAATAATTCCTACCATGTCATGTTGAGTTTCTGAGATGCTTCAGCCAAGTTTGTGCCTGCATTGGTGGAGCCAGATCCACTGAAGTATGGCCATCCACTGCTTCAACGTTTTGACTTTTTCTTCAAGGAATGCTACAAGCTTGTATCAGCTGCAATATATGTCAGGCTGTTTTCAGGCAGGAAGACAAACATTGCAAGTCACAATTACCAACTCTTGTCCATTCACTTTCGCTTTTCTTATAATATAATTGTATTGAAGGAATTTTTAACAAGATAAAAACAATACAAATATTAGTAAAGAAACAAAGAAAATGAGGGAGAATAGTGAAAAAGAAAGAAAAGAAAAGAAAAGAGAAAAGAAAAGAAAAGAAAAGAAAGAGAGAGAGAAAGAGAGAGAGAGAGAGAGAGAGAGAAAGAAAGAAAGAAAGAAAGAAAGAAAGAAAGAAAGAAAGA